CGGGAGGTAATTACAGTGATCTTGTAATTTATCTTAGATTATTTTAGATTTATAAAAGTATCCAGTGCACCCATTCTGATCATTGCAAGATAGAATATGAGCTCTAATTTATTTTTTAGATGACTGTCATGAGATATCAATCTTCACAAATAGAACTGATCAAAAGAGAATTTCTAAAACATTAGGTCCAAAGGTCCCTTATGGTATATTGAAGATTAAAAAATCTTCCTTAAAGAATCATAACTCCTAGTGGCCAAGAGAAACTTTTATAAGAATGTTTTACTCCTTCAGTGTGGCTTTAATGGTTGTTGGAGATAAAAATAAAATGTGTGTATGTCTTTTGTTGACCCATCAGAAGAAATTTGATAAAGAATTTGCTAGTACTTAGCTGAGAAACTTGAACATTTTCATGAACATAGATGTGATAGGTCAAATTTTCAGTTTCAGTTAAGAGGTTTTTTCTTACGTACTAGGTAATGAACAGATTCATTCTTTTCTTCCCAGTGAAGTAATCTGTTTGTTGTTTTCACAGTGGCATGGCAGAGAGAAATGCTAATTTTGAAGCCCTTCCTGAAGATTGGCGAGCAAGACTAAAACGAAGGAAAATGGCACCAAACACATAATATTTTTAAAAATTAAAAAACAAATGTTTATTGGGTGTGTGTGGATGTGTGTGTGTGTGGATGTGTGTATTCAGTTCAGAGTCTTAACCTGTTTTATGTTGTCAATAAACTATAAATGTTATGAGGGAGAGCATATGAATTTTGAATTTCCTGGGCAAGAACATAACACCTGTAAAGTTTTCACATTTGGGAAGTGAAATTTTTTCTGTTTTGCTGAAGGGTAAGATGACTGCTTTGACCTGGCTGCCTTTGTTCTCACACTGACAAACTCAGCATGTTAGGTACATTAACCTCATCACTCTGGAACATGTGGCTCATGAGTGTGACACCTTTTTAGAGGACACTGACAGAAAGTGAAGGATTTTTCCTGCCTAATGGAGGCTCAATAAGGGTTCCTAGTATGGTTCTCTCTCTCTCATTAACTTCTACTCCAGAACAAGTGCAATTAAGAAGGCAGCTCTGTATTCTACCTTGCTTAACTGGGATTATCAGATCTTTCTGACCTTCCTCCAGTCTGCCCCTGGAGTGCTAGGATATATCAAGTCATTTATCATGTGCAAGTATTCAATCTCACACATTCTAGAATTGATAACTGTCATTTCGTACGCTAGATGAAATATTTAAATTTCAGTACAGGCAGCAGCAGCAAGTTCGGGTCTTTGATTTTGAGAATTTCCCCTTACATCTGCGGCAGTAAATATAACAGAAGTGTTGATATTGTCTTATTCCAAAATTCACCTCCCTGTCATGTGTGAACGTATTTTCCATAAAATTCCAGTATTTAAAAAGCAGTTTACTATTCTGTATTTTCTATTGTATCACAATCAGGTAAAAGTCACTTTAAACTGAAGAAAAGGCAAATTGTGTTTTAAAGCTCTTTGTATTTCTCCAGTTTCTGACCTTGTAAATTTGTATATATACACTAATAAAGCTTTTTTTATACTTCTGATTGTCGTTTTGCTCTTCTAAACCTGTTATTTCATGATTATGTAACCAAGACAAGTCAATCTTAATTGTTTTTTTCTAATCAAATATGGTAGGGAGGCAAACATTAAAGGACAACCCTAAAAAAGAGCAAGATTTTGAATCGGTTGGAGGGCAGGCAGGGTTAGAAAAACACTTCTAGTACCAGAAGATGCTGTGTTTCTTCAATTTTGGAGTTTGCACTCTATAATAGCTAATGTCTGACCTACTAAAATCCAGGAAATAATAATGTAATATGTTTTAACATTTTGCGAAAATGTGCTTTTTCAACCCTCTGATTATAAAAGTAATACATACAGGGTGTCCCCAAAAAATGAATACACACTTGATTTTTTTTTTTAAATTAAATCTTAATTCAGATTATTACAGTTGTTCCTCTTTTTTTCCCCTATAGCTCCCCTCCACCCGGTTCCCACCCCACCCTCTGCCCTTACCCCCCCGCCCACTGTCCTCACCCATAAGTGTACAATTTTTGTCCAGTCTCTTCCTGCATCCCCCACCCCCCTTCCCCCTCCCCGAGAATAGTCCACTCCCTTTCTATGCCCCTGATTCTATTATATTCACCAGTTTATTCTGTTCATCAGATTATTTATTCACTTGATTTTTAGATTCACTTGTTGATAGATGTGTAGTTCATAATTTGTATCTTTACCTTTTCTTCTTCTTAAAGGATACCTTTCAGCATTTCATTTAATACTGGTTTGGTGGTGATGAACTCCTTTAGCTTTTCCTTATCTGTGAAGCTGTTTATCTGACCTTCAATTCTGAATGATAGCTTTGCTGGATAAAGTAATCTTGGTTGTAGGTTCTTGGCATTCATCACTTTGAATATTTCTTGCCACTCCCTTCTGGCCTGCAAAGTTTCTGTTGAGAAATCAGCTGACGGTCGTATGGGTACTCCCTTGTAGGTAACTGACTGTCTTTCTCTTGATGCTTTTAAGATTCTCTCTTTGTCTTTTGCTTTTGGCATTTTAATTATGATGTGTCTTGGTGTGGTCCTCTTTGGATTCCTCTTGTTTGGGGTTCTCTGCACTTCCTGGACTTGTAAGTCTGTTTCCTTCACCAGGTAGGGGAAGTTTTCTGTCATTATTACTTCAAATAGGTTTTCAATATCTTGCCCTCTCTCTTCTGGCATCCACATAATTCGGATGTTGGTACGCTTGAAGTTGTCCCAGAGGCTCCTTAAACTATTCATATTTTTGGATTCTTTTTTCTTTTTGCTTTTCCGGTTGGGTGTTCTTTGCTTCTTCGTATTTCAGATCTTTGACTTGATTCTTGCGATCCTCTGCTGTTGGAAGTCTGTATAATATTCTTTATTTCAGTCAGTGTATGCTTAACTTCTAGTTGGTCCTTTTTCACCTCAAGGGTCTCACTAGACTTATTGAGGATCTCATTAAATTTATAGGCGGTCTCACTAGATTTCGAGTGTCTCACTAAGTTTATCGGCGGTTTCTAGAAAATTCTTGAAAAACCTTAAAAGTGTGGTTTTGAACTCTATATCCAGTAGTTTGCTTTCCTCCATTTGTCATTTGTGACCTGTTTCTTTGTCTCCGCATTTTTTATGCTTCCCTGTGTTGATAGAGTGGCTTTCTGTGCTAGGTGTCCTATAGAGCTCAGTAGCTCAGCCTCCCCAATTACCTGAGGTGGACACTCTTGGTGCACCCCTTTGTGGGCTTTGTGCACAGTCTTGTTGTAGTTAAGCCTTGATTGTTGTAGGTATCACTGGGAGGAATTGCCCTCCAGGCCAATTGGCTGTGAGAATCAGCTGTGTCTGCAGTGGGAGAACTTCTGAGCTGGAGACACCCTTCTGGGGCAAGACTTGCTTCAGTGGGGCTTTGGTGCTCACTGAGTCTGCCCCCTGAGTGTGTCCCTTATGGATCTGAGGAGTTATGTAATCTGGATGGTCCCACTCTGACCACTGGGTACACTGGCTCTTGGATTGCTAAGGAGGTGCTAATCTAGCCTCTGCCTGTGGCTACCCAGCAGGAGCTCAGCTGTGAAGGAAAGCAAGCTGCTGTGGGGCCTTGGGCCAGCTGCAGTTGGTTAGGTAATTTTCAGATTGCAAAGGGCCAGGCTTTTCATATGCAAAAGCTGGCACACAGCTTGGGTGGGGCGGGGTCCCAGGGGATCAACAGGGCGGAGCAAGCAGCTATGGCTACTCAGTCCTGCCCTAAGAAGCCCCACTTCTCAGTGTCCCTGTAATCACTGCAAGCACCTCTGAGAGAAAGCCACCCTCGAGGTCCAACCGATGCCAGACAGTCTAGCCTCTCCCCGTATGAGTCTGGGTCCCCAGAGACTGGCCCGGAACTGGAGTTGAGACTCCCTCCCGATTGAAAAAGACAACCGTGTCCTCAGCTGCCAGCCCTTTCCGCGTTCGCCTCTGTACCTCTGCACTTCACTTCCACACCGCACCTCCTCTGAGTCTCGGTATGCTTTTCTCTTTCCTTCTAGTTGTAGAATTTCCACTCAGCCAGCCTTCCTGTGGTTCTGGATGATGTCCGTTCCGTCTTTTAGTTGTATTTTTGAAGTGGTTGTGCGAGGCAGCAATTTCCGGTGTTTACCTATGCCGCCATCTTGGTTTCTCCACACTTGATGTTTCTTTTTCAGATTTAACCCATTGGAATTAATAATGCAAAAGTGTATATAAATTGTTTTAAAACACCCTGTACTTACAGATATGGACATATAAAGTCAACCAAAGACAATAGTTTAAATTTTATTTTGGTATATTTATGCATGTAATTTTAAAATGTTACCTAACCAGTGTCATGTATGCTAGTGTGTTAGATGTTACCATTATGCAAGTATTGGGGTGACCGTTTTGTATATAAATTGTGTGTTTTTATTAATCCTCACCTGAGAATATTTTTTCCATTGATTTCTAGGGAGGGAGAAGGGGAAGAGAGAGAGAAACATGGCCATGAAAGAGACAGACTAGTCACCTCCCACATGCACCCCCACAGGGACCCAGAACTTGAACTTAGATTTGTGCCCCTGACCATGAATCAAACCCACGAACCTTCTCTGTGGGCCAACACTAGCCACTGAGAAAAACTGTCCAAGGCTAAATTGTTTTTCTTGTAATTGCATAGAGCAAATTTCTAGAAATAGAGGCTGTCAACTAGCTGTTAAATTTCTACAGAGCACCAGTGCCTTTGTCACTATCCTACCAAATTGAGATTTTTAAAAATCTTACAAAATATGTGGGTTTAATTTAACTTTGTTTCTTTAATGTTTTTTATTGTAGAAAGTAATTTTTCTTTTAAATATTTTTTATTGATTTTTTACTTTTTATGTTTTTGATTTCAGAGAGGAAGGAAGAGGGAGAGATAATGAGAGAATCATTAATCCGCTGCCTTCTGCACGCACCCTACTGGGGATGGAGCTGGCAACCCCCGGCATGTGCCCTGACCGGGAATTCAACCTTGACCTCCTGATTCAAGTGTCCAAGGTCAACTACTGAGCCACACCTGCCCAGCGAAAGTAATTTTTCATTTCTGGCGTTGAGCTGGCTTTACTTGTTACCTAAAAGAGCAATACTTGTTACCTAATGGAACAGCAAAGAAGTTTGGAGTATGACTACAGGCTTTGTATTTCAACCCAATTGCCATTGATTACCCAAAAACAGGGCGCAACAACTGTTCCTTGGGAGGCGGGGCCTCGCTCCCCGGAAGCGCCGGCCGCCCCGCCCTCCTGCTTTGGTTTCCTGGTTGCTAGGCTACCGGCGCCCCAGCCGAAAGCGGTGGAGGGTGAGCGAGGTTAGCTCCTCTGCTCCGTGCACAGCTGGGCATCTGAACCCGCTGTGCCGTGGCCTCCCGCCTCGCCTAGGATTTTCAACCACCGTAGGCGCCGCGCCCTCCACTGAGCCTGGGACAGGCAGGCGCGCAGAGGCGGTTGCACCCTTCCCTCTGCGCTTCTCGGAAATCTCCCTTCCCCGCCACCACCACCCTTCGGGAAACTGCCCTTCACGCCTTTACCCGGACCAGGAAACCCTGAACCCCTGAATTTCGGGCCTCTGACTTTTCTTTTCCATCCACCCCGAGACAACTTTTCTCGTTTTTTTCACATCTTGCGGCATCTCTCTGCTTGCCGAGAGGAAAGCATGGGGCCTGCAAGGGTACGGGTGCCTCGGGAGGAGAAGGCTGGAAGACGTGTCGCCCTCCCTAATTTCTCAGGTACGCCCCCGGGCCTCATTATGGGAACCACCAGCCGGGTCCTTGTTTGAGCAGACACCGAGTTGGCAGGAAAGGAGCGATGTGGCAGGGTTTCCTAAAATCGCGGGGGAGCTGCGGAAGCAAAGGGTGGGAACGATGACTATCGGCAGGTGTTTCAAATGCCCTGTTCTGGTTTTTTAGCTGTGTAATCAGCTGCCCTTTTGGAAACCGGGCAAGGGTGTGGCTGGATGCCTATGTGAATGACTGGTCTTCGGTATGCCATACAGAAGCAACATGTTGCCAGCATTGGAAGCAGAGCTAAAGCAGAAGGTCGGTACACACCCCTCTCCAGGAACTCCACAGAAATCCAGTACTAGATCAGAAGGTATCTGCTGGTGGCACCTTTTTCTAGCTGGAGATCTTGATCCCCAGGACAGAATGATTTGCGTGAATATCGCACTTGGTTTATTTACAGAAGTCAAGTATACTGCCCTCTGCCACAGTGCTTGCCTACCTTTTGTTAAGAGTTCAGTACTATTTGAAAGGACTTTCCTGATTGCGATGGCCTTTCCTTTTACAGACTCTTCCTGATCCCTATGAAGTCTTTATGTACCATCACCTCCAGTACTATGGCTACTTTAAAGGTAATACCTTGTTCTTATCCAGCATCACTTTTCCTGGGTTCCTGAAGTAAATTGTTTCATTAACTGGGAGAGTTATGCTAGGATAAACTAATGATGAATTTTTCCAGCACTATTAATGAAAAGTAGTCCTTTCCCATTATCTGTTTGTCTACCCTTACACTAATACCACTGTTTGTTAATTCTACCAAATGGCATTAAGACAGTATTTTTGTTTTTGCCTTTAAAAATTCAATATGCTGGATTGTGTCTTGGTTATTCTTGCCTTTTTATATAATTTTAGAATTGGCTTGTGATGTTTAAAAAAATTGTTGGGATTACACTGAATCTATAAAATCTAATTTCACAAGAACTGAGAATTTCCCAATATTGGGTTCTCCAATCTCTGAATATAGTCGAATTCTCCATTTACTTAGGTCTTCCTTAATTTCTCCCAATAAAGGTTTACTAGTATAGTTTTTTCATAGAAGTTCATCTTTTTATGCTGTTGAAATGGTATCTTTTTAAATTTTGGTTTTCTAACTTTGTTCCTAGTATTTAGAAATACAATTAAGTTTTTATATTGATTTTATTTCTGTCAACCTTGTTAAACTTTCCTATTAACTATTTCATTTTTTAAGTGATTACTAAGTTGTTGAAAACTGAATTTCCAGTTTGCCAGATTCAGCAGAGCCCTCAGGACAAAAGCAGTTCCACTCCCACTTGGAGTACCAGCCTTCACTTGTTGGGGCTCTCTTACTAGAGCCACCCGGTCTTTCTGCCTCCCAAGCCCTTTCTCTTTCCACTATATCATGCTGCCTCTCAAGTCTTCTCCTCACTGTAAAATGGAGAAAATGATGTTTAACTCAAATAAATCGGAATGTGAAGACTCTTTGGAAAATGAGATGTATTCGTTGTAAAGGCCGGTGGTAGTGGGGGTTGGTAGTAGTGGTTTGGGTATGCACCTAGATGTTAGAGGTGGTAACTAGCCTTCCAGCACCTTTCATTTAAACTGCCTTTTCTTAGGTGAAAGAGGCAGTGCACCAAACGCGGCTACGCACCAGCATGTTTGGAAGAATAAGCCCCGATTTGTCTTGAGTGACTCTTTTGGGGGAAGAGATGATTTGATACCAGACCACCTGGAAAAGAAGAACCTTCTGTGTGAGTAATACTCCCCGTGTGTGATCCCTAGAACCCCTAGTGCCTTGAGCAGCTGCTCTAGGTATTCCGGAGAACATGGTCTACCATAGGAGAAGCCAGAGGAGCAGCCATGGCCACTGTTTCTGTCATCACTCAAAAATGTTCTCTCTCGATCTACTTTGGATTGTAGGTTTAAATTAAAATACTATACATTATCTTCCTCCGAATTGTTGGAAAATTTGTTAAAACTTTTTGGTCAAGAGTAAAACATTGATTTTTCACACAGGTTTAATGGATATATTTGTTAAGGCTCTTTACGAAAGAGTGGTGGAAACCAATTCCAGCTTAAGCAAAAATAATTTTTTAAAGGTATTCCACAGATTTCTTCTAGAATGCAAGGGCAGGAATTCAATAGATCTCCCCTCTAAATACATATTCAACCAAACATCAATTTGCTTCTCTTTACTCCACATCCTCCCTGCCCCCAGCCCAAGCTACCATCATTTCTCACTATTGAATATAGGCAGATATTCTTATACTTTCTAATTATTTGTAAGTGCTCAATGAATGCTAGCATGACCTTTGAATTTTTTCTCCAAGTTCTGGATTAGGGCTTAAAAAAAAAAGTATGTAAATATAAATCATACTAGATACTGCTAGGCTGCTTTCCAGAATGGTTGCACCAATTGAGCTTCTTGGCAGCGGTGCCTGAGAATACCTGTTTATTTACACCTTTGCCAGGAGAGTGTGCAAACCTATAAATGCTTTTCCCATTAGGTAAAAAAGCTGACGTCTCCTTCTCATTTTGATTTACATTTCTTTATGAATGAGATTGAACAGCTTCACCATATTTTAAAATGTTTATTGCCCCACCCCCCAAATAAACAGCGAGGAAAAGATTTAGAGACAGAAATAGTGGCCCCAAAGTGGGGATGGGAGGATGGAAAGGGGCAGAAAAAAGAAAGACAAACCGTGCCTCTCCTTCCTCTTTTTAGGGCCTACCTGTCTATCCTCAGCTGTGCATCAACAGACAGACGCTGTGAGCAAAGGTATCTCATGTCCCTCCAGACCAGAAAACTCAAAACTCCTTTGTGGGAACATGTCTTCACCCCTTCTCTCCCCACCAGAGCTGAGAATCACCACACTGAGGGGCCTTCGTTCCTTCCCCGTTATTTTCTGTCTTTTCATTCTTCTCTCATTTCCTTTCTTTTTCTTTCTCCCTGAAAACCTTTCTTTTCCTCCCGTTTTTCTCATTCTCTGCTTGCCAAGAGCTCCTCTCTCTCCTGACCATTCACGCTCCTCTCCCACTTCCCGTATCACCTTCTGTTTTCAAAGTCGCTCTGTCCTTTGAATGGTTATATTTTGAACTTGAAATTTAACTTGCAGATTGTTTTTAATAGTTTCATGTACATTTTTCTAAAATGCTAATGGGTGAATTGAAAGTTCCCTCTCTTGCCTCACTCTAAACAAAAGTAATAGAACACATTAAATAACTTTTTATTCATTTGCAACCCACTGTTGAGATGTCTTAAATACATAGCTCTGATTTTTTTAAAACACAAAAATGTTTCTTCTAATTTACTCTTAAAACTTCACACTTAAATATTTAATAGGCTGTGTCAAATTTTAATTTGATTTTTATCATTTCTATGCCATCATCCTGGACTAAATCTCCTTGAAGGAGAAATATGTCATAGGATTGCACCTCTGTGCCTTTTTTTTTTTTTGAGAGAGAGAGAGAGAGAAAAAAAAAATGGAAGGACGAGAGGAGGGGAAGAGAGAGAGAGATAAACATCAATGTGAGAGAGACACATGGATTGGTTGCTTTCTGCACATGCCCTGACCTGGGTCAGGGATCAAGCCCCGAACCAAGGTAAGTGCCCTTGACTGGGAATAGAATCTGCAATCCTTTGGTCCGAGGGCCAATGCTCTACCCACTTAGCACCCAGCTAGGGCTGTGCTCATGTTTTGGTAGTGCTTAGAGTTACTTAGTGGTTCTAGTTGATCAGTGAAGTTCCCAAGGAAGAAAGAAGCCACTCACTCATTCCCTTGCCCTTTGGCAGATTCCTTTATGCTGAGTTCATCACTTCTCAGGAGCAGACTCTTTCTTCACGATGATTTTGGTGAAGTAAACCCATGTCTTCGGGAACCCCAAGATCTCTTTGCCTTTTACTCTTGCAGCGGGCAACTGCAGGTTCCCAGGTGGCCAATAGAATGCGAGGTCATCAAAGAAAGCATTCAGCATATTGGTATGTGACTTATGTGTCATAGTCTTGCTGTTCTGACAGACTTTATTACAAAACCTCATAGTTTTAAATCCTATATGCTAAAGTACAAGGCAGGACAAATTCAACACCTCTCATCTCACCCCAAAATGATTATCTCACCCTGGGATACTGAAATACACTCACCAACGTCAAAAGTTACACTAATGTGTAAATTAGAATGTTCCAGAGTCCATTGGAATGAAGGATGCCTTATTAGAGGCCAAAATATATTCTTACTTAAATCTGTTTTCTAGATTATTCCCATCTCAGTATTAATGTGCTTAGTTGAGTTTTATAAAAGTTGTAGTTTTACTGGCCTTGGTATAGTTGATGCACATCATATATGTCAGAACGTAGTTTGTACTGTTTTTAATCATATTTTTAGTTTATTGGAGTTTTTATGGGAATGGTAGAGACTTTTTAAAAATTTGATTTTAAAGAGAGGAAGGGAGAAGGGGAGAGAGAGAGAGAGAAGCATCCATCGGTTGCCTCCTGCACACCCCCTACTGGGGATCGAGCCCAAAATCCAGGCATGTGCCTTGACCATGAATGAAACCTGTGAACTCTTGGTGCATGGGTTGACACACAACCACTGAACCACACCGGCTGGGCAGTTAGAGACATTTTTTTATGGCATTGCTGGTCATATCTTTGAGCTATTGGTGCAAATATAATCTTCAGCATTCATTTTATGAAGCATTTTCAGAAGTGGATTGCATTGAAAAGTGGGGACTTTGCTAATTGGTAGGATACTTATATCTACCAGACATAATGTCTCTGCTTTAGACTGCTGGATAAACAACTGGATGTTTCTTATTTTCTCCCTTTCCTCATTTATTATTCACTCAATAAATATTGATGAAGCATTTACCATATGCTAAGTACAATGCTTAGTGTTAGATATACAGTTATGAACAAGACAGAGATACCCAGAGCTCACAGACTAGTGGGAAAGTTAAAGATACAACCAGGCAATTGCATAGAGTTTGATCCCTTGGGAACACTTAATCTCAGCTTGGAAGATCACTATGGGTTTCCAAAATGAGTTGAAATGGCAGCTGGGATCTGAAGGAGAAGTTAGAAGTAATCCAATTGAGAGTCAAAGAAAAGTATTCCAATTAGAGGAAACAGAAAAAGAGAATGTCATGTTTGGGCAACCGTGAAACATTGAGCCTGAAAGATGAGATGAAGCTGAAATATAGGGATGGGCTTATTTCATAGTTGGGATAGAACTGCTCTTTGGGTGTTTGGAAATGTGTGTGGCAGGGGGGTAGGGGGGCGCATTTTGAGTTGGCACAGTAGCTGAGAAGTCCTAAGGTCATCTGTCCCTATTCTGCACAATCTATAATAATAAAAGCATAATATGCTAATTAGACTGGACGTCCTTCCAGACGTCCTTCTGGACAAAGCTGGGGCTAGGAGGGAAGCCCAGGTCCTGGGTGCAGGAGGGAAGCCGGGGCCAGCAGCCAGGGGAAGGAAGGCCTATCTTGCAAGAATTTTGTGCATCAGGCCTCTAGTTCTTAGATAAAAGTCCAAGTTGATCAGGCCAAACAATAGGATTTTGTAGTTCTCTATATAAAATAGAATAAGATAGAGAATTCCTGTGAAGATTTTGGACTCAATTCCAAAAGGAAAATTAAAAAGTGTAAAACATAATCCACTAAAAAACCATTAAATCTTTTTTTAAAGCAATTTTTTTAATTTCAAAGAGCTCTAATAGCAAGTACCTGCTGTTTAAACTGAGTTGTCAGAGCCTCATTACTCCCCATTACCTTAAAGAGAAGAAAGGAACATTGTCTTTTACTGAGTTGTGTCTTTATATGCCCTTGGTTTTCATCACTTAAAATGATATGGAGAAGTTCCCCAAGTTTCATAGGAGGAAGCTTTTAGAATTGAATGTTGATGAAAAGCCTTTGTTTTCTCTGAAACAAGTGATATACTTGTTCCTCTGTGGTAATAAAAAGTATGTAGCGGATCATATTTTCCTGATTTTAAAAGGAAGCTCAGGACCAAATTTTAAAGAGTTAGTATAGCAACTGTATTGACTTTTCCAGCTTGCTTCTAAGTCTTCTATTTAAAGTTTATGTGTTTTTGTTAAAAGTCTCCTCATAGTCTTATGGAAAGAAGCAAGACAACTTATAAACAAATTAGAAACTTAGGTTCTGACAAGTGATTCTGTATTTTTCTTATTTTGTACTTTTTAAATGTCTTCTTTCAGAGGGAGTTCCACCTCAACCAGAATATTTTTATCAACCTACAGGAAATGAAAAGGTACCAGAAATTGTAGGAGAGGAAAAAGGCACAATTGTCTATCAATTAGATTCAGGTATTGTCATTACGCTGAGCAGTGAGTAATTAATTAATCGTGATAAGGTTATAAATATTTTCTATAATAAATGTGATTTTAGAAAATCCATAGTTCAGTGATAAATTGTCTTTTCCAAACCAATATGAATGGGAACCCTGATATTCATGAATAATCAGCTTTAAAATTTCAATCATTTTTTTAAATGACAGTACCTTTTTCTTAATAAATCTAAGTCCATTTTATAGCTCCTCCCTCGTAATTCCTCTTCCTGAAATTCAGAGGTTGGATCCCTGGGGAATGTGTTCTTCTTTTCGCCACCTCCTATATGTACTTGGGTGAGTACTTTATAGTATGTGCATATGACTGTCATTTACCATGTGGCTTCCTGCATTGAGTTGCAGATTTCCTAGAGCTAGAATGCATGTCTTTTATAAAAATGTGCAGAACATTGTACCCAATAACAGCCACAAAATACACATTTGTTTCAAGGGCCCCTGGTAGATTCTCCAGTGTACACCATATGCTAGCTTATAAAGCAGGTCTTAATACCTTTTATGTAAAAGGATTGAAATGATACCAAATATATCCTCTTATCACAACAAAATTAAATTAAAAATCAACAACAGAATGACATTTGGGAAATCTATAGATTTTTGGAAATTGAGCATCTACCATATACTAAGTACAGTGCTTAGTGTTAGAGATACAGTGATGAACAAGACAGAAACACCCATTTCTAAGTAACCCATGTGTTAAAGATATCACAAGGAGAGTTTAAAAATATTTTGGAATGAAAATAAAACAACATATCAAAATTTATGGGATGCAGCTAAAGCACTGCAAGGTAAATTTATGGCTTTAAATACATATATTTGAAAGGAAGAGGAGGAGCCCAAAAGGGATTGTGGGAGAAAGTCTTTTCCTTCTCAGCTGCCCACAGCCATCAGGTAAACCAAGATGGGTGCTTACAGGTACATCCAGGAGCTATGGAGGAAGAAGCAGGCCAGTGTAATGTGCTTTCTTTCCAGGCAGTAGACCAGCTCTCTGCACTCCACTGGGACCCCTGCCTACCAAGCCCAATAAAGCACAGCAGACTGGAATACAAGGTTATGTCATATATTGGACTCGTGTGTGCTGTGGTGGCCACAAACACCCTGTTCCTAAGGATGCAACCAATGGCAAGCAGTGGCAAGCCTGTCCATCATGGTGCTAACCAGCTAAAGTTTGCTGGAAGCCTCAGTATGTTGCTGAGGAGCTAGCTGGGCACCACTCTGGGAGTCCTGAATTCTCTGGCTCTGAGAGTCCTGAATTCTCACTGGGTTGGTAAAGATTCCACATACAAATTCTTGGAGGTTATCCTCACTGCTCCATTCCATAGGCTATCAGAAGAAATCCTGACACCTAGTGGATCACCAAACCAGTCCGCAAGCCCAGGGAGATGTGAGGGCTGACATCTGCAGGCACAAGAGCTGTGGCCTTAGAAAGGGCCACAAATCCCACCACACAATTAGTGGTTCTCGCAGTGCAGCTTGGAGAAGGCACACTACTCTCCAGTTCCACCGTTACCGCTAATATAAGTAATGTTTGTAAAATTCTTACCTAATAAACAATTTAGGACAGTAAAAAAAGGGGAAGGGGTAAATTAATTAAATAAGGAAGGAAGGAAGATCTGAAATTAATTACCCAAGCTTTCACCTTAATAAATTTTAAAAATCAGAGCAAAATAAATCCAGTGCGAGCTGAAGAAAGGAACTGATAAAGATACTAATGAAATAGGTGAAATAGAAATCAGAAAAATAATAGAAAAATCAAGTTGGTTCTTTGGAAAGATCAACAAAATTGACAAAATAGCCCAACCAAGAAAAAGGGAGAGGAGATACAAATGATCAAAATCAGCAATGGAAGGAAACATAAGCATCAACTCTACAGAAATCAACAGAATTACAAGACAATGCTGTAACAACTTTACGCCAACAAATAGACAACATAGATGAACAGGAACAATTGCTAGAAAGACACAAATCACCAAAACTGACTCGGGAAGAAATTAGAAGTCTGAATAGATTATAACAAAGAAATTGAATTAGTAATTTAAAATCTTCCTGTAAAGAAATCCCTGGCCTAGATGGCTTGCCAGGGTTTTTTTTGCACTGTATCAAACGGTTAAAGATGAAATAGTACTAATTCCTTATAAACTCTGAAAACAGAGGAGAAGGAAGCATTTGCCAACTCTCTTTGGTGAAGCCAATATCGTCCTCATAATAAAGCCAGACAGAGACATCACAAGAAAACTATAGATCAATATTCCTTAGGAATATAAATGCAAAATTTTTCAACAAAATACCAGCAAACCAAATCCCACAGCATATTAAAAGGATTACACACCGTGACTGAAGGGGATCTGTCCCAGGAGGCCCGGAGTGGTTCACTATCTACACTAATAAAAGAGAAAGATGCAAATTGACCATACCTTCATGATGCCCACCAACCAATCAGGAGTGAGCATGCAAATTAACCCAACAAAGATGGCAGGTTAATTTGCAGGCGCCAAGCGGCGGGGGTTGGGTGGGGCAGGGCGGGATGCCTGCGTTGTCGCCATGGCGTTCCGCACCGCCCCAGCCACCCCGGGCCTCTGGGCAGCTCCGGGCCAGAGCAAAGGCGGTGCCGGCAGCCAGGGGAAGGAAGGCCCATTCTTGCACGAATCTTCGTGCATCGGGCCTCTAGTAAGAAAATAAGCAGAACCACATTAGTAGAACAGAGTGGGAGGAAACAGCCATCTCAAGGCAGAAAAGGCATTGGACAAAATTTAGCCTTTCATGATAAGAACACTTAGAAAACCAGGAATAGAAGAGAATTCTCTCAACCAACTCGATAAATGGTATTTACGGAAACAATGGATCAACTTCACACCCACCAAAATAGCTATAATAAAAATATAGACAATAACCAGTGCTGGGGAGGATGTGGAGCAGGTGGTAATACTAACACTTAAGACAGAAAGGAAAGGTAATGTTAAAGAGCAATGAGCCAAGAAATACAATATGAACCTTCCCAAGGAAAGGGAAGTAAATTTTGAATTAATAATGTCAGGATCCTATGTTAGTAATAGGGAGGGACATGGAAGGGAGCTGCCAACAAGGACATCCTCTGTCATCCCCAAAAATCACCTGGTGCTCGTTGAACCCACAGGTACCAGAGCTCATTGGAACTTCTTAAAAGGAATTCTCTGAAGCTGGAAAATACTATATTCAAGAAATAGCAAAAAAAAATATCCTCCTAATTTGAAAAATCAATCTCTGTTAAGTAATAATTATCAGAAAGGAAACCTGTTTTATTGGAAGAGGAATCTGCACAAAGTTTAGTTAGTAGAAAGAGAATGTGTTAACCCTTTGTGCTCCAATTTTATTTTTGGAATTCAAACAGCCTGGTCCGAATTGGAAGTCCTTCCTCTCTTGGTTGCAGTAGTTCCCTGGCGGAAATTGCCAATTAGCTCAATCACCAAGTCAACGTTGGACGTGCTACTAGCGCCTGGTCTGTCGAGTCAGCCTCAACGTTGGAGCGCAAAAGGTTAAAGAAGTGACATAAGGGAAAGCTTTCGGAGAAACAACCAGAAATAGAAGGGACAACATGTGCTTACATTCCTCAAGTGGAAGAATAAAATGAGCCAGTTATTCCCGAGGGCCCCGCTGAGATGTAATTGCACATACTCCACCACAGTTTCCTTGATTATGAGCTCTCATGTTAATAATAATATGTTGGGAAAAGCTATAAGCAATCCTATATAATAAAAGCCTAATATGCTAAGTGGCCAGTCGGCCAGTCGATCATTCAACTAATCAAAGCATAATATGATAATGATATGCTAAGTATGCTCAACCGCTTGCTATGATGTGCACTGACCACCAGGGGGCAGATTCTTGACCAGTAGGTTAGCTTGCTGCTGAGATCTGGCCAATCGGGACTGAGCGAGATTGGCCAGACATGCCCTGGAGCCCTCCCGCAGCCCCTCCCCAGCTGGCCAACCTCCCGTGTCCCTCCCCAGCCCCTTGTGCACCGGTGGGGTCCCTTGGCCTGGCCTGCGCCCTCTCACAATCCAGGATCCCTCGGGGGATGTTGGAGAGCTGGTTTCAGCCCAATCCTGCTCAACGCAGGTGGTCAATGCGCTCCCACAGTGAGAGCACCGCTCAGCCAGAAGCCAGGCTCACAACTGGCAAGTGCAGTGGTGGTAATGGGAGCCTCTCCCGCCTCCATGGCAGCACTAAGGATGTCTGACTGCCGGCTTAGGCCTGCTCCCCACGCTGTCAGTCAGACATCCCCCGAGGGCTCCCAGACTGCGAGAGGGCGCAGACTGGGCTGAGGACTCCACTTCCCTACCCCCCAGTGCGTGAATTTCATACACCAGGCCTCTAGTGAAGTAAATAAGGTGGAGCAACTCAGTCCACCTAGCTCCACCTTGTGGAATGTCTGCGGAGGCATTTGGAAGGCATTTAAAAAGTATGAGGTATAAGTGGGTAGACTTAGGTTTTAGATAATAGGGGATGTGCTGCTTCTACAACCTCGGGATTATAAACCTGTTTTACAGGTTTGGAGTCCCTTCATCTGTTCTAGCCAGACTTATTTTTTGTATCTTACCCAGGAAAGAACCCTGGGGTGGAAGTGCTTTCTCCTGATATGGCAGCCCTTACAGACTGTCCTTGTTCTGTTAACACACAGTTGTGGTCACAGCCTTGATCTTGTCCTTGGGATTCATGGAGAGTGAACCCACCTAATTGGAGGAATAAAGAAGCAGAAAACTGAGAAGATGGGGCTCCAGAGGGAATTTGGGAGTTTGTCATTTTAGGGGCCCCACAGCAACTACATGCTGTGGGAATATTGGAGGAAAAAAGGAAATTGGTTTTGTTTTTTTGAGAAATGTTACTGTGAGCCATGAATTGGATATTTAATGTTACCTAAGAGACTCAAGAAAATGTTGGAATTTCCATATTAATGACATCTGGTCACTAGGCTGTACTCTGGTTTCATGAGGAGACTGAACCATGTGGGGCCCCAGCTTTTACTTAGACAACATGGATTCTTGGCCTCTGCCTTTGTTCCTTCCTCTGTGCTTGTTTTCTTCTTTCACCCACTTTTTTTCAAGCTTGATTCCTCCTTCACTCCCATTTATTTTATTATATAGTTTGTTTATTATATGTTTATTTATGTATTTATTATATGTTTATTATAAAGTCTTTCTAGTGACGTGGTTGCATAGGAGCAAAAGTCTTCATAGCATTACTGCATTTACTAATGAACTGGCCACTTATATAATCGTGCCCCACACATATTACTATTTGTTTAATGTTCCATGGTCAGCATCTTTGATGGTGTCAGTCACTTGCTGATTGATGGATATTATTAACATCTGGTAATATAATGCAAATAAATAAAAATCCATTGCAAAGTGAAATTATGATTTTTAACAAGAGATGCAGGATTTTATGAAATAGAAGTTGATGAATGTTACAGAATTGCTTGAATCATTTGCAAAACCACTGACAAATGAGAACCTAGAAAATTTTTTATCAGTTGGCAAAGACAAAATCAACAAAAGATGACAAAAATAGGTTCTTCTAGACACAAAGATGAGAACATTGTGGTACAAAGAGAAGTCCTTAGGGAACTATGAAGTCCTAAGAAAGTTTTGCAAAAGTAACTGCCAAAACAAAGATGTCATATGGCACCCTTACTGAATTTGTCTGAAAAATTATAACCCCACAAAAAAATAATAGTAATTGATTCTTTATTATCCCAAGTATTAGAAAGAGGTTGTGATTATAATCTAAATTTTGTTAAATAAGATAAATTTCATACATTTTTAAAATTTCATTTTAAAGTTAAAATTTCAATTGTGACCTTCCTTTTCACTGATCACTACATTTTGGTTCCTTTCCCAGGGGCATTCACCCATGCCAATTCTCAAACTGCTATTTTTGTTATATTTAAATCTGAAAGCATATATCAAAACATTTTATGGCGTCTACTATGTTTTCTCTTTTTTGTTTTTCCCCTTACCTTTTTCTTAAATCAGTAAATAGGTGCTATTTGTTGTGTGTTTATAAATAAGGTTGCAAATGTTCTCAGATGCTTGAATTAGAATATTACCTTTTGCCAACATCCTTTTAAATTAGTATTCAAATGGGCACAAGCAGTACTATCTGCGCTGACAAGGGTTGCCTGTAGCAAAAGGAAGTGCTCTAAGAGTCCTTCAGAGAAATACACGTTAGAATGAAAAGTCTCAGCAAGAACAACTGAAAATTAGAACATTCATTGTTGTTAACCTAGGGCAGTGCTGCTGGCGACAGAGGGGCGCAAAGAATATGCTGACGAATGGGTTCTGGCAGGAATGTGGCTAAACATGTCTGTCTCACCTGCAGTGCCCACCAAAGGCTCCTATTTCACCAGCTCCAGAGTGGGAGGCAAGCGGGGAGTGATCAAGGAGCTCGCTGTCACACTGCAAGGACCAGAAGATAACACTCTCCTGTTTGAATCAAGGTTTGAGAGTGGGAATCTGCAAAAAGCTGTCAAAGTGTGAGTAACAAAGTGGGTTTACTTAAAGGGATGGTGATTAAAGTGACTGAGAAGTGTCTTCAAGAATCATAGTCGGAGTCAGGAGTGTTTCTGCAAAAGAGGTGAAAGGAAATGATTATGAGGATGATAAGAAATGGAATAATTATAGCTCATATTTTCCCCCAGAATAAAAATTTATCTAAATTGTTTTTTTCTGTTTATAAAATAAATTAGTGCTCATATAAAATTTATATTGACAAAATTTTGAATCCTATAATCATGACTCCCAGACACAAGCAATTGATAACAGTTTGATGTCTATGCATTAATTGTTTCTCTCTCTGTGTAATACACACAAATTATATATTTTTAAAAATAGGGTAATGGTGTATATATTTGGGCACTGTTTTTGCAAATTGGCTTTTTTCCACTTAGTACATTTTATTTTATTTATTTTTTGTTAATCCTCACCTGAGGATATATTTCCACTGATTTTTAGAGGGAGTGGAAGGGAGGGGGAGAGACAGAGAAACATCGATGTGAGAGAGACACATCAATTGGTTGCCTCCCGCACGTACCTGCAATCAAGGTACGGGGCCCTTGACCAGAATCAAACCCTGACCCCCATGTTCTGTCCATTGTGCCAAAACAGGTAGGGCTCCACTTAATACATTTTAGATGTTTTTCTATGACAATACCACAGACATATGTCCTTTTTTTAAAAATATATTTTATTGATTTTTTACAGAGAGGAAGGGAGAGAGATAGATAGTTAGAAACATCAATGGGAGAGAAACATCGATCAGCTGCCTCCTGCACATCTCCCACTGGGGATGTGCCCGCAACCCAGGTACATGCCCTTGACCGGAATCGAACCTGGGACCTTTCAGTCCGCAGGCCGACGCTCTATCCACTGAGCCAAACCGGTTTCGGCTATGTCCTTATTTTTAATAGTTCATATTGTTCTATTACATGAGTGTTCCATACCTATTTACCCTATTCCCACCTGATGAGAGATTAAGACATTTACAATTTTTTATTAAATGAATGAACAGAATTCACACCCTTGTGCATGTATACTTTTTAGTATTTGTGGTGTTATGGAACAAATTCTGATATAAAATTGGTGGGTCAAAGGGTTTGAACACTAAGCATTGCTAGTTTTTGCCCCATTGCCCTCCAGCGTGAATTCAGTTCCCATCAACAGTGGATGAGAGGGCCTGTTTCCCAATGCTGAAATGTTGCTGAGATGGAGGGGAAAAGGACGATATCCTGTTTTAATCTGTATTTCTTTCATGATGCATGCGGATGAACATCTTTTCATGTTTTGGGCATTTGTAGTTCCTCTTCTGCAGGTTAGGCCTTCTTTCCCACAAGGTGCATGCATTCCGGCAAAGCCCCCTTATCTTCAAACAATTGATGATAAGAGAGAAAAATAGCACAGGAAGCTTAAGGGTCTGATCCATCCTGGTGATGCCCAGGATGTAGGTACAGCCAACAGAGGGCTCCGGCTTCCCTGAGTTCAGTGTGTTTCGGGGAAATGGGTTGAAGTGGTTGGAAACCACCTTCTGGGCCCTAGAAAGGCACCAAGAAGCCCAGCGCGCCCAAACATCCGGTGCTGCATGTGAATTATGAGACTCTTCTGTCCCACCCCAAATGCACCTTCTTCCCCCAAGTCCCTGTTAGCCTAACATATGAGTTGGAGAACTAAGTAAATTAGAAAACAATTATTTGATGTAGCAGCCTTTCTGTTGTGATTAGATCTATTTTTACCAGGGAAAAACAATGTTTTCCCAGATTTATTTTTTGAGGGAGGTATTACAGAGTTATTCTACATTCTTCATTACAGAGACACCTATGAGTATGAACTCACCTTACGAACTGACCTCTACACGAACAAACACACTCAGTGGTTTTATTTTCGAGTTCAGAACACCAGAAAAGATGCCACCTATCGCTTCACCATCGTCAACTTGCTAAAACCCAAGAGCCTTTATACTATAGGAATGAAGCCACTCATGTACTCCCAATTGGATGCCAACACCTGCAACATTGGCTGGAGGAGAGAAGGAAATGAAATCAAGTACTACAAGAACAACACGGATAATGGGCAGCAGTCCTTTTACTGTCTCACGTGGACCATTCAGTTTCCTCATGACCAGGACACTTGCTTCTTTGCACACTTCTACCCATATACATACACGGATTTGCAATGCTACCTCATGTCGGTGGCAAAAAACCCTGTCCAGTCTCAGTTCTGCAAACTCCGCACTTTATGCAGGAGCCTCGCAGGAAATACCGTGTACCTGCTCACCATCACCAACCCATCCCGAACCACGCAAGAGGCTGCTGCAAAGAAAGCCGTGGTCTTGAGCGCCAGGGTCCACCCTGGGGAAAGTAATGGCTCCTGGATCATGAAAGGCTTTTTGGACTTCATTCTTAGCAACTCCCCAGATGCCGAGCTCCTCAGAGATATCTTTGTCTTCAAAGTGATTCCCATGTTAAATCCAGATGGAGTGATTGTGGGGAATTACCGGTGCTCGTTGGCTGGCAGGGACTTGAACAGGCATTATAAAACCATTCTGAAGGAGTCTTTCCCCTGCATCTGGCACACCAGGAACATGATCAAGAGGTGAGTCCCCTAATCTGTTGAACTTTCTCTGGTTACGGTGAGCACTATCTAATGGCAGGGACTGGGGGAAGAGGGAAGGTCTCTTTAAGAAGGGGAGGTTGTAAGAATTGGAAATGTCTTTGGAGACAGTCTTTTTTTTAAATATATTTTTATTGATTTCAGAGAGGAAGGGAGAGGGAGAGATAGAAAATATAAATGGTGAGAGCGGGCTGGCGTGGCTCAGTGGTTGAACGTTGACCTATGAACCAGGAGGTCATGGTTCAATTCCCAGTCAGAGCACATGCCTAGGTTGCAGGCTTGATCCCCAGTGTGGGGTGTGCAGGAGGCAGCCGATCAATGATTCTCTCTCATCATTGATGTTTCTATCTCTCTCTCCCTCTCCCTTCCTCTCTGAAATCAATAAAAATATATTTAAAAATATATATATAAATGGTGAGCTAACATGTCATCTATTCAGCACAGTACCCAGCCACTGTTAATGTGTGGCATTGTTATCATACTCTTCATCCTGTGACCATCAGGGGGATGGTGACCTCATTTGGAAGACGGAATAGGTGTCTCGGGTGATCAGGAGATCAGGAAGATCTGAGCCTTATAAGAACGAACCCTGGAAATGAGGACCCAAGGTTTTCTTTGGTTCTGTCTTTTTCATCCCTGCGATTACAGCCTCTCTACCTCTCCCCTCTTCCCACAAGTCTGCACCAGGGTGGGCTTTCTTTCAACAGATTCCCTCCACTTATCAATTTACACAAGGCCTACCCACCACCCCTTTCCACGTCAGCACATCTCAAGTCCTTCTGTCGGGCAGGAGCAAGGAGTACTGATGCCGAGTTTACAGCAGTGGCTGAGGGTAGAGGTAGGGTCCTCTGAAGGCCATTAGGGGTCAACATTTTCTTAGAAAGGAAGGTGTCAACAGACATACTTAGGAAGAGACTCCAAAAAAATCCATGCATTTGGAGTCCACTGAGTCCTTTGTTTGCTCCCCTTAATAGACTTCTCGAAGAAAGGGAAGTTCTCTTGTATTGTGATTTCCATGGCCACAGCCGCAAGAATAACATCTTCCTATATGGCTGTAATAGCCACGATCGCAAGTACTGGCTTCATGAACGAGTCTTTCCTTTCATGTTGAGCAAAAATGTACCAGACAAGGTAAGCACATAAGGTAATTTTCTGCTCATTGACTAAGGAAGAAGGAAACTCTCTGCTTCCTATACCCAATAATAGTGTTTGGTTTGCCATTTTGTCTCTCTTTTTTATCTTGGGTAAATCCCTGCAACCTGGACTTGAAGAATTTAGAAAGGTGTGGTTTTAAGAATTATTCTGTGTCCACTAACTGATGAGCAGATAAATAAAATGCAGTATGTCGAGAGAATGGAATGTTGTTCTGCAATAAAAATAATTAACTGCTGCCCTAACTGGTATGGCTCAGTGGCTAGAGCGTTGGCCTGTGGACTGAAGGGTCCCAGGTTCGATTCCGGTCAAGGGCATGTACCTTGGTTGCGGGCACATCCCCAGTAGGGGGTGTGCAGGAGGCAGCTGGTCGATACTTCCCTCTCATCGATGTTTCTAACTCTCTATGTAAAAAAATCAATAATATATATATATATTTTTTAAAAAGAATTAACTGCTGATATGCTAGGACTTAGTGATGGTGAACCTATGACACACGTGTCAGAGATGACACGCGAACTCATTTTTTTTGGTTGATTTTTCTTTGTTAAATGGCATTTAAATATATAAAATAAATATCAAAAATATAAATTTTTGTTTTACTATGGTTGCAAATGTCAAAAAATTTCTATATATGACACGGCACCAGAGTTAAGTTAGGGTTTTTCAAAATGCTGACACGCCGAGCTCAAAAGGTTCGCCATCACTGTGCAGCTAGGTCATGGAGGAACCTTGAAATCATGATGCTAAGTGAAAGAAAAGATGCAAAACACCACATATTGCATGATTCCATTCTATGCAATGCTATAGAGACAGAACTTACTAGTAGTTTAGTGATTGCCTCAACTGGGGACAAGTGACATGGGGAGTGACTTCTAATGGGTACTGGGTTTGGGGAAGGTATTAAAAATATTCTAAACTTATATTACAACTCTGTGAATATACTTAAACCATTGACTTGTGTACTTTTAATGTGTGGATCTTATGGTATGTGAATTATATCTCAATAAAGGTGATTTTTAAAAATTGCTCTGGCTGCTTTGCCTGGGCACAAGTTCAGACTCTTAGTGGTAGAGTTATCTATCATTAATCCTGTGATTTTCAGTGGAAGCAGGGATTGCAGGACAGACAAAATGCTAATGTTACATGAGCCTCCAAAGAAAAGTTTGAGTAATGCAAGATCACAAATAACAAAGATATTAAAGGGCTAATGAAAGCAACAAGGTTTTTCTTGTTTGTTTTTTTTAAGCAACAAGTTTTTGATAGTTGGCTGAGTGTGACAGTCGGGCATATACAGAGTATCTGCATTGATTTAGAAAGTTGGTTTTCAGCATCATAAATACATCCACAAAATGTAACTGTCCTTATAATGAAGAAACTGGGTTGGATTCAGGAAAACATTTAAATTACAAATTTTCTCACATAAAGATATTTAAGACATATTTTGTATCTGGTGCTCTTATTATTTAAAAAAAAAAAAAGAGGAAGCTTTTCTTCCTCTCTCTTTCCCTTCCTTCATTCCTTCCTTCCTTTCTTCTTTTTTTGTTTTTATTTTTGTTGTTGTTGTTAATCCTCACCCGAGGATATGTTTTCCATTGATTTTTAGAGAAAGTGGAAGGGAGAGGGAGAGGGAGAGAAAGAGAAACATCAACATGAGAGAGATACATCGATTGATTGATTGGTTGCCTCCCGCACACACCCCGACTAGGACCTGGGATTGAGTCTGTAACCGAGGTACATGCCCTTGACCGAAATTGAACCCAGGACCCTTCAATCTGCAGACCGGTGCTCTAACCACTGAGCAAACAGGCTAGGGTCATTCTTTTTTCTTTTTTAAACATTTCGATTTTTGCCAGGTATCTCTTCAAGTGAAATCACATCCAGAACCCAGTATCTAAAACAATTAAAAGCAGAACTATGTTATTGAAGAGGGGTAGAAGGCTTGGAACACCTGTCCATTCGGCCTCCTCCCTCAGGCCTTGGACAGGAATGCCCTGTGGCTCCTCATTAGAACCCCTGGATTCTATAGAGCACAAGTTAGAAACCACAAGGTAGTGAGATATCTCCCAAATGTAAAGCGTTTTCAGCAGGACAGGCTAGGATAGGTTGGGCTAGGTGCCAAGTGTATGTTACAAACTTCAAGAGAGGAAAGAGCATTGGCATGGTCATGAAAGACAATGGAAGAAACTGAACTTGGACCTGAGAACACTGGCATAAGGGAGTGAGAGCGTTCCAGGCAGAGACTGTAGTGTAGGGCTGAGGCATACACAAATCACATAGAGAGGATCAACCCAACCATATTGAAGGGTTCAAATTGGAGAGGGGTAGAAAATAAATCTTAGAAAGCTTGGCTACTAGCCTTGAATGCCAAAGAAAGCCAGCATTCCCAGACAGACATTCAAGGAACCCGAGTCCTGCAGAATGCCCCTGGAGAAGATGGGGAGGAGAAGGAAGGGTTCATGGGCAATGAAAAGCAACATGCCCTCTCGCCTTTGGAGCATCACGGTCCACAATAGCATATTAAATAGCCTGAGAGGTGCTGCAGAGGAAGCCTGCGCCATTTTCTTAGCCCTTTATCTCCCTGGTGAACGTGACCATAGAACTCATGTTTTCCTCCCTAATACCTATTAGCATCCCTAGGAACCAGTATTGTAGGGGACACACTTTAGGAAGTAATATATAGATTCCCAAGAGAAACATTCTTGTATCATATCAATGAATCTTCTATATCTTACATTTGCCAGTCTATGATTAACAGAGGATTTGGATTTCTCTTCAGTTCTCTTTTCATAGTTGTAATTTTAAGGTCCAAAAGTGCAAAGAAGGAACAGGACGTGTTGTGATGTGGCGGATGGGAATCCTGAACAGCTACACCATGGAATCTACCTTTGGCGGGTCCACCCTGGGTGAGCTCACTTCTGTAGACCGTGGGCCAGCATGGCCAGGGGAGCCACGTAGAGCACTGGGAGATGAAATCCTTAAACATGTTGAGAGGAAAGTTGATCTAGAGGCTTTTCTTGTCTGCGCCTTATGCCAAATTTGAGCACCCAGAATATGAGTGTGAAATATAGTATTTGATGGGGCAATATAGTGTAGTGGCTAAGGGCCTGGAATCAGGCAGATCTGGGTTTGAATTTCAGCTCCATTTACGAGTTGTGTGATCCTGAGTAAGTTACCTAATTCTTTGAACCTCATCTTCTCTGTGAACGTCAGTAGTAGTGCCTGCATTATGGGGACTACTTAATGAGCTAGGGCATGGAAAGCACTTGGCAGAGTGCCTGCTACAGAGTAAAACGTTATCATTGCAATTACAGCTTCACAATCACAGCCATCATGATTGTAAACATTTTCATTGTCAAAGATTCTTCTGAACCAACCTAAAGCTAGGAGAGAAACCCTGTCCAGAAGCACAATGTTCTAGAATAAGAGGTGGTGTCTTTAATGAGATATTCGTAAATTATATCTGCATTTATTTGCTCATTAAGATTTCATGAGAAATGTTTATGGGGTTTTTTCCAGGCAATAAAAGAGACACTCATTTTACCACTGAGGATCTGAAGTCCCTAGGCTACCACGTCTGTGACACCCTCCTGGATTTCTGTGATCCTGACCGAACCAAGGTAAAAATGGGGCTTCAAGAAGTGTGGTGATGCCGCTACTGTGATCAGTTTCCCATGGGTCCACAGTCAGCTCAGTGCGATTTCAGGTGGTTTTTATTTCCTCTTAGTATTTTTCTGAAGCTTTTATGATCAAAGAAAATAAGAAAGGCCCAGCCTACACACTCTCGGCAAATGGTAAGACCTCAATTTACCAAGATGATAGAAGCCATTGTTCCAGCTTCCCTTCAGCACTTCTCTCCCTCACGTCCAGGCGTACCCATGGGAGCACTCATTCTTTTTTTTTTTTTTAATATATTTTATTGATTTTTTACAGAGAGGAAGGGAGAGGGATAGAGAGTTAGAAACATCGATGAGAGAGAAACATCGATCAGCTGCGTCCTGTACACTCCCCACTGGGGATGTGCCCGCAACCAAGGTACATGCCCTTAACCGGAATCGAACCTGGGACCCTTGAGTCTGCAGGCCGACGCTCTATCCACTGAGCCAAACCGGTTAGGGCAGAGCACTCATTCTTGATTCCCTTTCTCCCATTTCAGAAAACCTGCTGTCCTTTCTCTTCTCCAAAACTAACCCTGCCCTTTGTGCACCTGCTAAGCATCCCTGCAACCTCCTCTCTCAGACCCCATCTGACTTGTCGGCCCTGGGAACACCTGATATGCACCACTCTGGATGCAACTGTTTTGGTTTTTTAAAATATGTTTTTATTGCTTTCAGAGAGAGGAAGGAAGAGGGAGAGACAGAAACATCAATGATGAGAGAGAATCATCAATCAGCTGCCTCCTGCATGCCCCCCACTGGGAATCGAGCTTGTAACTCAGGCATGTGCCCTGATTGGGCATTGAACCTCCTAGTTCATAGGTCGATGCTCAAGCACTGAGCCACACTGGCCGGGCTGGATGCAACTGTTTAAACAAATATATTTAAAGGAGAATTTGACCGCAACGTGGCCCGTTAAATCATAGTTGCCATAGGCCAAAATCTGAACAACCCCATTCTAACTTCCTTCCTTACTACTCGAAAATAAAATTAGCCCTAACCGGTTTGGCTCAGTGGATAGAGCATTGGCCTGCGGACTGAAGGGTCCCAGGTTCGATTCCAGTCAAGGGCATGTACCTTGGATGTGGGCACATCCCCAGTAGGGGGTATGCAGGAGGCAGCTGATCGATGTTTCTGTCTCATCGATGTTTCTAATTCTCTATCCCTCTCCCTTCCTCTCTGTAAAAAAATCAATAAAATATATTTTAAAAAAGAATAATAAAATTAAATTAAATTAATCAGGCCTTTGGGTTAAGAAGTTTATAATTGGCTATGGGCAGGAAAAAGTGGCTAAAGTAGTGCTCTTTGGTGTTCTGCCCCAAAAACACTCCTTTTTTAAAAAATATTTTATTTTATTGTTGACATTATTATAGATTTCCCCCCTTTGTGCCCACCTCCACCCAGACCCTGCCCTTCCCTCCCTCTGGCCCTTACCACATTGTTGTCTGTGTGCATGGCCTATGCATATGTGTTCTTTGTCTAATCCCTTCACCTTCTTTCATCCAGTCCACCCCATTCACCTCCCCTCTGACATTTGTCAGTCTGTTCCATGTATCCATGCCTGTTTCTATTTTATTCATCAGTTTATTTTGTTCATTAGATTTCACATATAAGTGAGATTATCTGGTATTTGTCCTTCCCTGAGTGGCTTATTTTGCTGTTGCAAAAAGGAAGAGTTCCTTCTTTTTTTTTGGCCACATGGCAACACTTCTTTGTGTTCCCACAGCTCATGTAGCTTTCTGTTAACATGTCCTTAGTAGCAGACATTACAGCTTACTCATCCTTTTTTTTTTTAATTAAAAAAAATTTTAATCCTCACCTGAGGATATGTTTTTATTGATTTTAAAGAGAAAGGAAGGGGGAGAGGAGAGAGAGAGAGAGATGTCAACGTGAGAGAAAAACATCAGTTGCCTCTCGAACATGCCCACACTGTGGATTGAACCCTCAACCTTTGGGTGTATGGACGACACTCCAACCAACTTAGCCCTCCCCACCCCCACACCCCGCCAGGGCACAGCTTACTCATCTTTATGTCCCCAGCAATAAAGTGCCTTTTAGCATATACTTAGTAATATTTGATGAGTAAATAAATAAATAATCAAAAATAGTTCCTTCTTCATTTCCACAGTTCATGCAGTGTCTAGTAGAGCTTAAAGAGCTCTTACAAAAGGAAATTTATAAGAAATTCAATGAACTTGGACAAGATACGGATTTAGAAAGAAGTTGGAATGACATCCCTTTCTCTGACATCGAATCCAGGTAACAAACTTCATTTCAAAGAAAAACCAGAAAAGTTTTACTCTGCTCTGTTGTTGGTTTTGAACCTCAGGTGCAAAATATTAAATAAATCATGGCACACTTAAATACACTTCATTCCTTTGACAACTATGCATGTGTCTTGACTGGGAATCAAACTGTGACCTCCTGGTTCATAGGTCAATGCTCAACCAGCCAGGCTTCAATGTAATTTGTTTAATTTGGCCTACCTTCCTCACGCTGATATTGCAACTTGCTCCCCTGCCTTCACCCTCCTGCCATTGCCCATCCGCCTTAGGTGCTCAGACTTTTTCAGAGCACCCAGGAAAGTAATATTCCTAGTCTCTGACCTATAGCATTTTATCACCTCTGTCATTCTGTATCATTTACAACTGTATTGTGTCTCTTATTTGTTATCTTCCCCTACAAGGATGTAGGTTTCACAAGGCCAGAGATCTTTATTTTGTTCACTTCTATATCTCATGCATCTCTACAACCGTACCTGGCACATGGGGAGAGCTCAGTAAATACTTGTTGAATTAATTTAGTACATAGATCTCAGCCCCACCCTCATCGTCTCCACAGCTATAGGTGGGTGGGTATCTCACGTGTGTGCAAGAACACCAGCTACTCCAGCTTCTGGCCAAGGTGCCTCAAGCCTGCACCAGCTGCCCTCAGTCAGAAGGTTTCTGGGCTAGGCATGGAGGTCTTCTTCCAGGGGCTGCACTGTAGTCTGTGTGGACGGTGGGAAGCGGATGGCTCTCCCACACTCCCTGTGGCACATCGACATCTGACCCTAAAGCAGTTCTGCTGGCTGAGTCTCCTAGATGCCTCCTTAGGAACCTTAAGCCAGACCATCAGGCCCAGTGAAGCGCCCCCTTCACCAGGTCACCTCTTCCATTCTCCCAGAATCCTTTGCCTAACTCCCCAGGATAAGTGCACCAACCCACTCTCACCCTCAAAAACTAAATGTCCCCTGCATAGCAACTCATACAACAGAGCCCAGGGGACTCAACTCAGAAACAGCCAGACGCTCAGCAGGGAATGCCGACGCATTCAGTTAGGAATTATGGAAACCAGTTTGCCAGCCTCTGCATCAGGAACCCCCTTTCCATTCTCACCATTACACAGAGAAGCAGACTGAGTGTACAAGCTCAGTTGGAGTTTGCTCTGTCTGGGTGTGAACACTGGTTTTGAGCATTTCTGGGCCATACATACTGCACCTAATGCTCTTATCCCATTTGTTAACGCTCTCCATTGCCTCTGAAAGGCACCAAGGACTGTTATCTAGTGGCCTCAAAGGCTGTGGAATTGGGAGTTAGATCAGAGAAGAGGAGGCTTTCTTCCCGCAGTCTTCTGTTGGGCTCCTCCTTGTTGTGCACTGGCGGGAGGAAGGGGGAGCAAGAACAGAATGAAAGGGCTGAGCAAAAGGATGGTTTGAAATGCTGTCTTTACCCAGATTTGAGTTTTGTGCCGAAGACATTTTTTTATATGGAGCTCATGTTGCAGAGCACAGCTCTCAATTCCAGCCAGCCACTCTCCAGGAAAGGGGAAAAGATAGTGTGACACATGATAAAGGAAGAAAGGGTTCATTATCTGAGGACTCATTCATCCTAGCCCTTGAAGACTGGGGGCGGGGACAGTTCGTGAGGGAGGACTTGTGATCGGTCTAGACACGCATCCAGAACTTTTGAAATGTGAATTGGGGTGATGAAAATAATAGTCCTAGTCTCTGACCTATAGATTCTTTGTATTAAATGTATTTATTTATATATTGAACATATTCTTAAAGAAGACCTGGTAGGATCCTGGCTTTCTGAACTGGTACTGGCCAGACAGGAATGAATGAGACAGAGTCCCTGCTTCCAAACAAATAACAGTTCCCTGGCATTCTCAAGGGCTGCACATTGAGAATCCTGCAGCCTCTCACAGTTGCTGCCAAGGGCAGCTCTGCCCATCTGGCTGGTTGGTATTTTTTTTAAAGATTTTTAAAATTAATTTTTAGAGAGAGGATGGGAGAGGGAGTGGGAGAGGGAGAGAACCATTGATATGAGAGCAAAATTGATTGGCTGCCTCCTGCATGCCCCCAATCAGAAATTGAGCCCCCAACCAGGAATTGAGCCGGCAACCCTCGCATGTGCCCTGACCAGAAATCAAACCTGCAACCTTTTGGTGCATGGGACGATGCCCAGCCAACTAAGCCACACTGGCCAGGGCAGGTTGGTGTTTTTATTTTTGTTTTGTTTTTTGTTTTTTTGCTACACAGATTGCAGACTCCTTGGGGCAGAAGCTCTGCCGTGTCCATCTCTGTTTCCTGTGCCTGATGGACTACCTGGCATGCAATGGGCATTCAGAATGAATGAATGGATATGCTTGTCAAGAATTCTTAGCAATTAAAACACAGACAGTGTGGGCAAATAGTGGACTAGATATCCTAACCCCATGCAGATGGCCTGGTGAATGGTATACTTCCAGACATGAATAACAGGTTTTTCCCTTTCTTCTCTCCTTTTGAAAACAGCACCTGTGTTCCCTCTCAGACGGTCTCCCTGTTCAACTCCTGAACATAGCACATGAGGTGAGATTAGATAGACTCTTAGATTAGATAGACTCTTTTTTTTAAAATATATTTTATTGATCTCTTACAGAGAGGAAGGGAGAGAGATAGAGAGCTAGAAACATCGATCAGCTGCCTCCCGCACATCTCCCACCGGGGATGTGCCCGCAACCCAGGTACATGCCCTTGACCGGAATCAAACCTGGGACCTTTTAGTCCGCAGGCCGACGCTCTATCCACTGAGCCAAACCGGTTTCGGCTAGATAGACTCTTATACCCAAAGAGTAGCAGCCTTAAAAAAGCATGACACCACTGGATAATGTGGTGGAATTTTCCAACTATTCTAAGATCTGCAGAAAATAGAGCAATAGTGTCCCACTGGTTATGAAGTCTTTGTCTGTTATAACTTTCATTTTAAAAATCTAGGAGGGTGGGGAGGGTGTGAGGACTCCATATTTATTCCAAAGTTAACTGAGAGTGAAAAAAAGAAAGTTTAACTAAAAATGAAAACCATGTTAAGAAATAGGTTATTATAAATGACTGATACTTGGTTGCCAGAGGGGAAGCGGGTTGAAAAGGTGAAGGTCTTAAGAAGTACAAACTGGCAAGTTACAAAATAGTCATGGGGATGTGAAGTACAGCACAGGGAATAGAGTCAATAATACTGTGATAACTATGGATAGTGGCAGGTGGTACTGGAAATATCGGGGACCACTATGGAAATTATATGATTATCTAACCACTATGCTGTACACCTGAGACTAACAAAAAATAATATTGAATTAAATTGAAATTTTAAAAGTTGTTTTTAGTTATTTTATTTTTAAAAAATGACCCATAATTTTTTTTAAAAAGTGTTTCTTTAAGAACATTTTTTTATTGATTGACTTTAGAGAGAGAAGGGAAGGGAGAGAGACATTAACTTGTTCCATTCATTTATGCATTCACTAGTTGACTCTTGTATGTGCGCTGACAGGGAATCAAACCTGAAACCTTTGCATGTCGGGACGATGCTCTAACCAACTGAACTACCTGGCAGGACTAAAAAGTGTTTCTTTATTCCTGTCGTCTTAGATAGTTTTTTATACTTTCACATATTAAGTAACTTTTTTGCCCCACCTGCTCACAGACGTTTTCTTACATAGATATTTACAAACAGCAAAATATTTCTTATGATTTATTATGCACATGATTTCCTAATTGCATTAAGAAGTATCTCCATCATAGTGTGAGATTAAGGCTGTCAGGAGGAGCCAGCCAAATTATACTCAGCCCTGCAATTTCTTCAACCGGATTTACAGCAACATCAGATTAAGCTTCACCACACCATAGGTACCTAGAAAATTTGTCCTGAGCTTCATTTGCTTGAAGTAACAACCAAATTGAATCTTTTTGGTGTTGTTGTTAATCCTCACCCAAGAATATTTTTCCATTGATTTTTAGAGTGGAAAGGAGGGGGAGAGACAGAGAGAGAGAAACATCCATGTGAGAGAGACACATCAATTGGTTGCCTCCCACTCACCCCACAACCAGGGCTGGGGATTGAGCCTACAACTGAGGTATGTGCCCTTGACTGGAATTGAACCTGGGACCTTCAGGCTGCGGGCTGACACTTTATCCACTGAGCCAAACCATCCAGGACCCAAATTGAATCTTTTAACCACACATCAAATAGTCAGTATTGCCTGTACCTGACATTATTGCCATAAGTGATCTGGCTTTAAATTATAAACCACAAATACTTGGTCATTGGAGTATGTATGATAGTAGGATTTGGGGGCTGTTACATGGGAAGCAGCCTCCGATAAGGAGGTAACAACTATTTGTTCTGCCAACCAACAGTGTAACTCTGAGGACCGCACACTGGCTCAGCCATCGTGCCTTGAGTGTTGTGTGAAGAGTCCTCTGGGATCCTCTATGACTAGTTTCTCTGTACTTTTTGAAATAGTTGCATCATAAGAAGAAGATATACAAGAAGAAGAAAAAGAAGCCACTTCAGACGAGGAAACAGCGAAATGAACAGTATCAGAAAAATAATATGATACGGGAGTTGAAGTCAAAAGAAGATGCCCTGGTAAGAAAACTCTGCTGCCCGCCTCTACTGTCAGGTAAAGAGTATTCCATTAACGGCAGTACTGGGGGTCAAGGTTTACTCTAAATCAGAAGGGGGTCAGAGGTGAAAGCTTTCTGTCTTGAGTTCAGAGCTCTTTCATGGTCCTCTGCTGTGCTCTGGAGCTGCAAGTTTGGGCGTTGACCAAGTCTGGATTTCCAGAAGGAAGTGGTGGAATGGCTGGCAAAGGAGGGGCCGGAGCTAGTCAGGGTTGCTGGGTGCTAAGGGGTCAGGCCTGGCCCCGCTAATGCTAAAGACACCTGGATAGCTCCTTCCTTGTCTTTCTCCCAGCTGTTGTACCTACATCATACCCTCTGCTTTCTAAAGTTGGAAATGCTTTCAGAGGTGGGAGTTTCACTGTTGGGTGAATTGGGTCAATTATGAGCAGATTAATTGCAATCTGTCAATTGAAAAACATTCTCTTTGCACTAATCCTTCTAGAAAAGACCAGGATTTGCTTCCACGATGCAAAAGCAGCCTTCCTTTTTAAAATATTCTGAGAATGTCAGTTCTTCAACAGTAAAAAATGAAAGACCAAGGATGAATGAGGTAATGTTTTTGCTTGACTTTTTTTTAACTCACTCATGGAAAAAATGTATTAAAACTTTTTTGTAAGTTTTTTAAAGTGTACAACGTGATGATTTGATGTGCATACATTGTGAAATGATTCTCACCATTGAGTTAACTAACACATCCATCACCTCACATGGTCATCTTTTTTTCTTTTGGTAAGAACATGTCCATTTCTACTCTTAGCAAATTTTAATTATACAATGCAGTATTATTAACTATAGTCACCATGTTATACATCAGATCGTCACACCTTATCTGATAACTAAAAGTTTGTACCCTTTTACCATCCTCTCCCTATTTGCCCCACCTCCCAGTCGCTGGCAACCACCATCTACTCTGTTTCTATGAGTTTGAGTTTTTTAGGTTCCACATATAAGTGTAATATTTGTCTTTCTCTGTCTGGTTTATTTCACTTAGCATAACATCCTCCATGATCGTCCATGTTGTCATGAATGGCAGAATTTCCTTCTTTATTATGGCTAAATAACATATATTTGCACATATTTTTTTTCCATTCAGTAGATTGCCTTTTCATTTTATTGATTTTCTGCGCTGTGCTTTTTAGTTGATGTAGTCTCACTTGTTTGTTTATTTTTTTCTTTTGTTGTCTTTGCTTTTGTTGTCAAAACAAAAAAAATCATTGCCAAGACCAATGTCAAGGAGCTTACTTCCTATGTTTTCTTTTAGGAGTTTTCCAGAGTTAGATCTTAAATGTATGTTTTAATCCATTTTGAGTTGACTATTGTGTATAGTGTAAGACAGGTACAGTTTCATTCTTTCACATGTGAATATCTAGTTTTTGCAACACCATTGTATATTCTTGGCTCATTTGTTAAAAATTAAATGACCATATACGCATGACTTTATTTCTGGGCTCTATATTCTGGTCCATTCTTAACTCTCGTTCACACAGATTCTCTAATTTTTCCAATTAGTATGTCTCTCCCACAGGGCGAAGAACACAATAGCCCTCTGTGTCACCCTTACCTGTCAGTGACACTGGGAGCAGGGGAACATTAAAATTTGGTGGGGAGACTGGCTCTGCTTTGGATTACACACCACTGAAGTCTGACACCAAATTTTGGTGATTTGTGACTTTATATCCAGAACATAAGAACAGGCTGTTTTACCATCCAGCCAGCCGTTTATTCAACAAATTGTATTGTGTAACCACCATGTGCCAGGCCCTCTCCTGGATGTTGCGAATACGACATTGAACAAAACACTATCCCTGCCTCAGGGACCTTAGAGTCTGGGCTGGGGATTTGACAAGTAAACAGCAAATGACATAACAGAGTAGGATGCAGGGAACACAGAGAAGCACCTAACCAACTTTTATACTTTGGAGTTTTGTGGCTATAAAGTCCTTGGTTCTTTTTTTTTAATATATTTTTTTATTGATTTCAGAGAGGAAGGAAGAGGAAGAGAGAGATAGAAACATCAATGATGAGAGAGAATCATTGATTGGCTGCCTCCTGCAAGATCCCACTGGGGATCAAGCCCACAACCTGGGCATGTGCCCTTGACCAGAATCAAACCTGGGACCTTTCAGTTTGCAGGCTGACGCTCTATCCACTGAGCCAAACCAGCTAGGGCAGTCCTTGGTTCCTTTACGTATAAATATAAGTTTTGGTACAACAGTAGCTAATTCTTAGTGGGTAGAATGTAAAATTGGCCCTCCTGTGGCAGAATGCTACCCCGTGAGTAACAGTGAGATAAAGAG